AACGGGTTTGACATGTAAGTAAGTGTGTTCAAGAGGCTAGGTCAGTTCCAATAGCGGCAGCCCAACTCACCCGATGGATCCTGGACCCCCTCGATCTTAATTGGGATCAACACCACTTTATACTTGTGTTTAGCCTCAAGTAACAACTGGCTGACACGATCAAAATCATCCTCAACAACGAGGTCCCACTCTTCGGGGTAGAACAGCACGCGGTCCGCCTTACTGCCGAGTCTATGCAGAGCCTCGAAGACCATCAGGCAGTTGCACATGTAGACCTCGTTGGTTGCATACTGGGTATAGGCAAACCGTGACCAGTCGACCTCATCGTAGTGGATATGGGGTAGGGGCAGGGGCGGAGGACGTTCACGACGTTGCCACAGCATAAATAGGACGATAAGCGCGACTACAGCCCATGTTCGGACATGTCGTAGTTGGCGTTTGACTATGGAGAGACATGGTTCATCGGGTATGTCGAAGAAGTCATCTTCCGAGGCATTGGAGCCCCGTCGGTAGGGGAAGGCGGGTTTTTTGGGCGGCATTGTTGGAAGGTGAAGCTATTGACGACGCAGTGGGGATTTGGATTATATGCACGTGATTGCTATGTCATCGGTGACACGAATCCATTTTTGGAATGTTAAAATGGGAATTTTATGTTTGAAGGCTGAAACAAGCTTACAGGCTTGAGATTCCAATGTACGAAGTTGTGGGGAGGGGCCCACCTCTCCTCAAGGTTGACCGTGGGAAACATCTACAATGTTACGCGTGGACGAGCAACTTTCTATTCAACCTTTTTTTTCTTGATTTCAATTCGTAAATCTATTGGATCTGAGTTGATATTTATGCCAGGAGCCTAGGAACTAGTGTTAATGAATAATGATCTATTAAACTGACGGAAAAAAATATTTCATCTGTGATTACAAGGCGAAATAATACAAGTACCTCTACTAACATTTACATAGCAAAAATACAAAAAATAGTTTCCCTGGGAATCGAACCCAGAACCTTTCCGGAACATACGCTAATCGCGCTTGTTAACGGAAAATCATAACCGCTAGACCAGGAAACTGTTGTATGTTTCAGCGGAACGGAAAGGAATTCATAAGCTCCACTAACATTCGAGCAGCAAAAAATGCAAAAAAATAGTTTCCCTGGGAATCGAACCCAGAACCTTTCCGGAACATATGCTAATCGCATTTGTTAACGGAAAATCATAACCGCTAGACCAGGAAACTGCTCGACCACTTGGGCCAATTGATGAATATGCAGGCAAAAATTGGCATTATGTCCCAATACTAAGTGTGGTACACATATGACAAGTGTATTGTCTCTCCATGTCCATCTATATCAAGGGCATTGTTTTTCTTTATTCTATTACACCTCCTTCCTGTCAATTTGAAATACTAGATAGCCTGGCTCGATCCGGAACTATCATATCCACTAGGTTAGTTGGTCATTGAGCATCATCTATGGGTGGTCCACGCTATATATATATGGAATGCGAGAGACAGCATCCTCCACATTGAATCCTTGTTTTTTTTTAATATCGCTCCATATTTTCACACCAATAAGAGACCATCATCTATTTCTCCTATCGATGTAATATATCACTACGTTGAGCACAGAAAATGCATAAACTTTGCCAATGTACGAAACTAGTACAGGTTGCCCTATATGATAATACTGTGCAACTTTGTTCATAATATCATACCTCCGTACCAATATTAGAATACTAGACCCCCTGGTTTGTCAGATAGCTGTATGAGAAGGACATCATTCCATGGATTTTTCCCACCGCGTGCGATCAGATAGCAGACTCTCTCGGTATCTGCCATCGGCACCGTAGCCTTATCACCGTTTGCCTTCTCATACAAAAGAAGCATCTAACCCATCCCTGAGAAGAGCTTCGACCGAGAGAACAGATAATGTCTGAGCTGCCGAAAGCATCAGAGGCAGTGTGCCTTTCCTCGTTGGAATAAGGGGCGCCTCGTAGATATTGGATCCATACTCCACCAGCAGCTTCACAAATTCAGCGTTTGCATTCTTGACTGCAATATGAAACGGCAGTCTGTTTGTTTTGGGATTGGATTTGTTCGGGTTAGCGCTGTTTGCCCGAAGGAGGTTGAAAATCGGTAGGCTCACAGGTTTGTCAGATAAAGCCGTAAGGAATGCACCGTGTGGACACTAGTCGGGTTTCATATTGATATTGAAACCGCCTCGATCAAGCAGTTATCGTCGGGATGTTGTGCGTCACCTCGTGGGCTCAGGTCCTTGACGGAACTAGCAGATTATGCGATGAATACAACAATCGTATGATTCCCTGGCTAAAAGTAGAGAGCAAGATAAAAAGTGCTATTCCGGACCTTATTATATACTAGAGAGCTATGTACTGTAAATCAATGAAACCCCGCAGAATGAGATTCACCCCCATCGGGTAACAACCTCGTTCCACCTGAAGAAATTGACCTCCCATCATCAACCTGAACAACAATATCCGTCTTGACAGTAACACGTCCACCATCAAGATGCTCCGGGATCTCCGCCTTTGAAATCCGACTACTCGAGCGCTTATGATTATGTCCATCCCACTGATCTTCCTCATCTTTAATACAAGCATTGGTCATATTAGTTACCGTGGCCGAATCCAGCCACTGGTCCTGAACATGGGCGCGGCGTTTCAGCTCTGTATCGGGCTCTTTGTGTTCCGTTGACCGGGAGCGAGACCAGTAGCCGTGGCTGCGGCCTTCACGTCTGTGGTCGACGAAAGAGCGGAGGAAGAGGCGGGCTACTGGGGCACATGAGGCGAGCAGGATGCTGTAGTTTTCAATTCTGGGGCTATTAGCAAATGATTTTGGTGTCGGGAGGTTGTAGTTGTGCTTACTTTACCCAAAGAACAAAGCTCACAATGTTATAGGTGAAGTCCTGTCTATCACCGAGGGATTTGAGTTTCTGGTGAATGTATTAGCGCTGCTATATAAGTCGAAGAAAGACAGCTTACTCACATAGGTCTTTATGATAGAAGCACAGCCGGACAGGAGTAGTGGTCCGCTGAGAGTGATGGTCTGCCAAATCCGGCGGGATCGGACGGTGCCACTGATTTTGCAGAATTGGGACCAGAATGATGTGTGTGGATTACGGTGAAGAGTTCTCAGGAAGAACTGCCACAGTTCGACGGCAGCGAGCACGGCGAGGAAGAAATCGATAACGGTATTGAAGCCTGTGGGAATTGCAATTAGCTTTGCATTGAGCCGAAGTATGCATCATTTTACATACCTCCTTGTACAAATCCGACAGTCGTCTGGACAGTCGGTGATTGGCACTTAACCGAACCATCTTCAGGGAGCGGTGTCCACATATAGTGGAAGTATTGTACTCGATTAGTCTGCAATAAGATTAGAATAGGCCAAGCACCAAGAAGGAGAATGCTGACTGTTTGATATGGGTTCGGTCCGCACTGGATAATGATTTGGACGATTGTAACCATATTGACGACAACCTGAACAACAGCACAGACAATAATAGATAGGCGAATCTTCTTGTCGCTCGCCGCAAAGCAAGTCAAAAGAAACCACATCATACCTGCGCGTGAGACCATCGCCGAAGTGACAGCCAGTGGCTGTGAAAGGAAGTCCCATTTCATAGAATTAAGACGCTCTTCGTTGGTTAAGTAGAAAAAATGCCTCCCAAGGCCCCAATTGGCACTAGACAGAGTTAGTGGGTAGCATGGAAATAAGGATAAAATTCGATCTCACCTCATTTGAATAAATATCATATGGGTGATATCAAAACCCCAAGCCACGAGGAAGAACAGATCCTCTGTACCCCAGATTCGACCGGGTGCAGTGACCTGCGGTAAAGCCCAGCGCACCCAGACCTTGATGGCATAGCGGAACAACAATGCCACACCGACGATGGCTGTGAGGACCTGCTCGAGGATTAGTATAAACACACCCAGAGGCAATATTTCGCCGAGGATAGCATACCCAGCAAGCTTGAAATGTGCCAGTTCCTATTCAACATCCGTGTTAATCTTCTAGGTTCATTTGCTTGGCTTTTGCCACGAGGTAAACATACCGATGTTAACATCGCCCTCACCAGGTTTCGGAATATCCATAATTAAGATGAAACACAAGGACCCGGTGTGTGGAGCAGCCAAGTATTCAGCAGATTCTCGATTATAGCGCGGGGAGCCAATTCAAATACTCATTGGCATGGATGCGAGACGAGAACGATGCGCGGGGTTTGATCAGATGGGTCGGAAGAAATAAAATCGCATCCAAATCCAATCCAGGGCCAAGGAATATTAGACTCTTGAAAGTTCTTAGAAATGGAGATTACGTTAAAACTCTCGCGCGAACTGATTTATAGGTCAGAACCTTGCCCAGAGGGTCGTTTATCGGGTGGAATGGCCCATATAGTATGATTGAGAGGAAACAAGGGATGCAGTGTAAACCGGCAGATTAGGAATCAGGTCAAGTGAAGCGAGTTGCTGATGTGTTGAATGATATGGTGGAGCATTAAACCCTGGATACGGGGTCATGTACATCAAGTTCTGACGGGAGTCAAGCGCGTGGCCAATCCGGGAGTTAAGAAATGCGATAATTAGATCGTGGCAATAGACAGGTTCGCATTTACAGGACCATGTGGAGTGAAAAGAAGCGACATTTCTGGTGGAAAGGGGGATAGAACCATGCAGTGGCCATTCGATTTGCAGCAAGGGATGTGACAAGGAATGAGAAAAAAGAAAACACATCAAGTACGTATCCATGTGGAATTGACCGGTTCGATACAGTCTTAGATCGGATCTGCAATGATCTGCCTATGAGTTCGAGAGATAAAAAAGATAAAAAAAACTATAAGCTTCGGGTAAGCGAAGCTATTGAAGGGATGTGATCTGTATACATTAAAGTGAAAATGATACATCATATTAACAACGAACTATGAACAACGAAGGAAACATTAGTCAATAAACTCTACGGAGTACTCCGTACTCAGTACCTGAACTATCGATCTGCCCTCCTCATCTCCACCAATGACTCTCCAGCCCTAACATAAACCTCAAAAGTCACCTCCAGCCCACACAAACCCGCCATCTGCCTCCACTCTACCGAACTCCTCTCTCGGCCCCCATACAACGCAATCATACTTGCATGAAGCGAAGTATAAGTCAAATTCTTGGCATACTCAATAATCAGCACCCGTGAACTAGGCGCCATAGCTCGCGAAATCTTCTGCAGCAACGCCACAGCATCCAAATCAGGCAAATTATGCAAGATATGCTGCAGCGCGTAAACACAGGCCTCACGAACGGGCTGCTCAGCCTCCTTTTTGTAGTTCCACTCCATAAGCCGTACACCAGGCACGCTATCAATGTCGGCATTGAACTCCTGCACGATTAGATCTTCCGCGCCGAGATGCGGGTACGCAGTCTGGACCTCGAGGAGGAGTTCGCCACGACCACCGCCGATGTCGACCATGGTAGCGGAGCCAGTACCGGTGCCAGTGGAAATATCACCCGCTAACGCGCTATCTAAATCATAACCCATAGACTTGACGCGGTCGGGGAAAGTTCCGAACTTTAGAAACTTGCCGACCATGAAATGATTGAAACTGTCCATGCGACCCTGAGTCTCCATAATCGAGTACGTATGCTGCTCCGCTAGCTTGGACTGGCCCATCAGCCGATAGGCATATTGCAAGGGGCCGTCTGCTTCGGCGAAGGGGTATGCAAAGCGGGTGTCCTGGAGCTTTTTCATCAAGAATGCGCCGGCCATTAGGCCTTCCGTGGTGCTTGGTGGGGTTAGTGCGTGTCTGGAAGATTCTGTAGTTTCTAGAATAGAAATCAGGAATGCATGGGAGGAACTGACAAGTGCAGTGCGCCATGCTGGGCAGAGGGCATGGCGACCATGTGGTTTGTGATGGCATTTGCTGTAAAGCAGTCCTCGTCCACGCGCTCGACTAGCCCAAGTCCGGCCATGATGTACAGTGTGTCCGCTGCGAAAAGGGATTAGTATTGGTATACTACTTGTCACCTGTAGCCGGATATTCTTACAGGCTAATCTGGTACCTATATTCATCGTCAGTATAACAGGCCTGACATCCATCAGCCATTCCAACTCAAATCCATACTCAGCTCAGGCTCATTTTCCCCTTTGGCTTTGAGACGTGCATTGCAGGTCGCCGAGACTTCATCGGCCGTCGCGGGTCTGCCATGACCCACGAGGATATTGAAGAGATCAAAGTGAATCGCGACTGGGACAAATCCTAACGATGCAGGCTGTGACTGAATTAGATGGAAGGTTTGTCTGACCGGTTGGTCATACTCACTACTGTGATGGTTGCTGCGAGGGCGGCGCCTGGAGGTGCGACAACGGGGGCTGGAGAAGACAGGCCCAGGAGGCTGGCTAGGCGGGTTAGAAAAGACATTAGAGGTTGGAGATTGGAGATGAAAATTTTCTGAGTGTGAGGATCATAGGGAAGTATACGGAGTACTCGACGTTATAATCTCTAAATAGCTACATGTACAGCGTACGGGATACGGCACGAATTCCGGTACTAGTACAGATGTAATATGGGAATGGGATGTAGATAATTCATGACTAGAATACCAGGAGATTACAATACCATCCATAATTCCAGATTCATTATTATGTTGTAGCATGGGATGATCGTGCTCTGTAGAAGATCATTGGTCCAACATCACCAGGTTAGGTATGCGCAAGGGATATCACACCAAGACAGACACGGCAATGCCACAGCAATACGAAACAAAGAAGTCAAGGCAAAAAGAATAAATCAGCAAATCGAAGAGCCCAATAGCGAATTACCCGAAAATCCCGAAAATGAAGGATCTACTAGCCCCGATCTACCTTTGTGATATATCCACTATCCACTATACGTACATTCCGGAGACTTTTTAACAGATCCAAATCGGAATTATGGATATCTGATCTCTCCTAATTCCTCAGAACTACTTTCTAGAATCCCCTGTACAACAAAAGCCACGCGAGAATCTCCATGTGTACTCGAAAAACCGGCCGTGCATAAAACCTACAGTGCCCCGTCACACAAGAGAAGAAAAAGATCTTCATTCACCTCCTTACCTCGACGAAATCTGCTGTTTTGGGGTTGCCTCTTATATTATACAGAATACAGACCCCAAAAAGGGCGAACATGTCTACCATGGAGAAACCCTCCCCGGTCTACTTCACGCAAGAGATGGCAGCCAGTGCGTCGTCGTCGCTTGAGACACAGGAACTGAAGGAATGCTATTCCAATTCCGATGTCAAGGCCAGGGATCCCTTGAACCCGAGGAACTGGTCTTCGGCGCGGAAGACGATGCTCTTTGTGTCGCTGATGACGAGCTCGTTGTTGGCAGATGGGTATGTATGGCCGATCGCGAAATCCCCGAGGCCACCACGGGTGTCAGCTCATACGTGTACTGCATAGATGAGTTTTCTGACTGAATCTCTTGCAGGGCTATGGTGTGGGGTGGAACGCTGGTTACGGAACAGGCCATGGATTGGAATATTAGCATCGCTCATTCGGCGACGAGCATGAATTATGGTATTCTGCTGCAGGGGTTTGGGGGGATTTTTGCTGTTCCACTCATTGAAGCGTATGGTCGGTGAGTTGGTGGTTTTTTTCCCCGCCCGCATTGATTATCACATTGACAGTTGCGCCTAGTTTGCCGGTTTGGCTGTGGCCTCAGGTAATCACCATGTTCATGGTGCTGGGTGCTACCTTTTCCAATGATTGGTCTACCTTCACGACGTTCCGCTCTTTGCAGGGTCTGTTTGGGACAGTACCTCAGGTAATTGGGCTTCCGATCATTCATGATATGTATACCTCGGCTGGTAAGTCCTTCCTCTGGGATTTTCTCGAGTATTTGATGCTGATCCGACAACAGAATGGCCGCGGATGATCAATATTTGGTAGGAGACTTGTCAACTTAAGTCTAACCAGAGTGGCACTGACTGAGAATAGGGGCACCACCTTCCTCGTCGGACCATTCCTCGGCCCCGCGATAGCAGGATACATCGGCGCCGGGTCAGACTGGCGCACCTCATTCGGAGTCCTGACAGCCATCTATGGTGTATCCACAGCAATGGTGATCTTCTTCGGCTATGAGACATACCATGAGCCTGGACGAACAGCCAAGCAGTCACGCCTCGCGTCTTATTTTGGCATTGGAAATACCCTGCTTCCCAAGGGATCGACGTTGAGCTATTGGAGCCGAACAGTCGTGGTCTATGTGTTTAAATTCCCGTTGTTGATGACTGGTGGGTATGGCCGATCTAGCTTGCAATGGCATTCACTAACCAGGATTTTGTCAATAGGCATCGCTATCTTGGTAACATTTACCTGGCCAATTGGTAAGTAACCATCATCACACCGTTCTTTCACGCGCTGACTCTCTAGGAATCACAACCACCATCGATACCTTCCTGCACAGTCCTCCATACTTATTTGACACAATCGGGGCATCATCGATGCGATTCGCCGGTGTGATTGGAGCTTTATGTGGTACGCATCCTCATATTCCCCCACCTCTCCTGATTCTCACCGTTTCCCTAGGCTGGGCAGTTGGCCACTTCTTCAACGGCTGGATCTTCAGGCGCCATAGCTCAACCTGGCGAACCGAGCTCCGCCTTCACGGTGTCTGGTTCCCGATAGCTAGTATGGCGAGCGGTCTCCTCACCTACGGACTAACCATGCACTTCGGCAAGCACTGGATTGGGATAGCCATTGGGTGGATCATGGTGAACATCGGCATGGTAGCCACGATTGTGTAAGTTTCAATTTCACTCTGTTGAGTATTGTTTCGTTTCTCTAACATCATTTGCTCAGTGCCATCTCGGCCTATGCGTTGGAGAAATACCCAGAGCAGGCGACCTGTGTCTCGGCCATTCTGAATATGTGGCGCACCTGTGGCGGGTTCGCGGTGGGATACTTCCAGCCTTCATGGATTCAGCGTAATGGACTCGGACTGGTTTTTGGTATTCAGGCTGCCATTCTGTGTGTGGCTGTCGCTTTGACTATCACTCCTGTGTTCTTGTGGGAGCGGAAAAGGTGGTTGAGAGCTGATGTTGATGCTGATGTTGATGCTGAAGCTTGAATTGGTGTAAGCTGTATATGTGTGATGATTAGAATGTATTCATTTGATATTTTGTATATCTTGTCCTCAGACAACATGAGTTGACCCTCATCAGTCCCAATTTGGTCCGTTGTCACTGAAACACACGTGATTAATGCCTTATACATCAGGCTTCAATCAGGCCACGGCCCGGTTTGCCGACCCGAACGCGTCCGTGTAGCGTAGGCGTCCTTGTTTCATGCTTAATTTATTTAACGCCATGGCTGAATCCTGTACTCCATACCACTTTGTACAGATTAATTGACTCAATCTCAAACTTGAGACTTGACATACCCCTGATCTTCATCTCCTGAATCTTCCCCCACGAACAAACAGTCTACGGAGTACGCGGTCGATCATTGCCTCGCTATGCAAAGTCCCGCTAGCGATGACGCTTCCCGTGGGGCGGCGGTCTGAAAGACGCCACGGCCCAGTTGGCTTACATGTGCCGCGTGGTTGCTGATCAGTCCCCAATGAACCAGTCGCTTGGCCTATCAAAACTCCCCCGTTTACCCCGTTCAGAGAGGGTCGACCGAATCATTTCTGCCGGGCTATGGATTGTCCACTGTCAAAACCGAGGCAGTGTCGAACTGGTTTGGCGATCACTGACCCTTTTTTTTTTTTTTTTTTTTTTTNGTTTTCAATCATTTCAATCACTTCAGTCTTTTCTTACCCTCATTACTCTCGTTAGCTGAATGGCATCGATTCCCGTTTGACTTTTAGATTGTCCCCAAGCGCCAACTCGACTATGTCTAGTTCTCCGCGACGATGGCTCTTCGTCGTCTTTCCAATCCTTACATTTTGCTTCATATACTATCTCATTCGACTTCCTGAATCAAACCCGACAATCGTGAACAACTCAGTGCAAATTCCTCAAGTCGGAGGGGAAACATTTGTGGTAGGGGAGGAGAAGCAGACAAGTCCTCCTCCACCTACTCTTTCCAAAGAGGAAGCCCTGGAGGACAAATGTGGCCACTTACTACACGCACTCGACAATGTCATGGTCGTAATAAAAACTGGCGCGACCGAATCCCTCGAAAAAGTCCCCATCCACCTCCGCACCACGCTGGAATGCGTCCCACACTTCGCCATCTTCTCCGACTACGAAGAAACCATCGACGGTATCCGCACCTATGACGTCCTTCGCAACATCAGCGAGTCAACAATGAAAAAAGAGCCCGAATTTGAAATATACCGCCGTTTACGAGAAGTCGGACGCGAGGGTCTAACAAACGAAGAATGGGGCGACGACACAAACGGCCCACTAGGCAAGGTCAACAACCCAGGCTGGAAGCTCGACAAATGGAAATTCCTCCCAATGATCGACGAAGCACTAGAAGTCATGCCCGACGCCAAGTGGTACGTCTTCCTCGAAGCCGACACCTACATGGTCTGGCCGAACCTGATCAGCTGGCTGGCACACCTCGACCCAGACCGGAACTACTACCTGGGCAGTCCCATGCAAATCGGCGAAACACTCTTCGGCTACGGCGGGGCGGGCATTGTCCTCTCAAGCTGGACGATGAACCTCCTGCACGAGTACCAGATAGGGGCAAAGGAAGATCTCGAAGCGATGACCGCACACGAATGGGCAGGCGACTGCGCGCTGGCGCGAGCGCTGCACGACGTGCACGTGGATCTGACCTGGGCCTGGCCGATGATGATGACGTCTCGGCCATGGGAAATCGACCATTTCTCCGAAGGATACGGGCGCCAGCCGTGGTGTTACCCAGTTATCTCATACCATCACATGGCGCCGAGGGACATCGAGGAGATGTGGGAGTTTGATCGAGCATTCTTTGCCAGTGGGAAGAACGCGCTCATGTTGCATGCGGACGTTTACCAGAAACTTGTCTACGATGGGACTTTCTCGGCACGCGATGATTGGGATAACCTCTCTGCGATCAAGATTGATTTTGCGGCTGGCACAATCCCTTCGTTGGATGTTTGTGCGGAGGCCTGCGCGCGCAATAATGATTGCCTGCAGTATTCGTTTAATCACGTCGAGGGGGTGTGTAAACAAGCTTCTACAACCTTTGCAGGCGTTGCCACCAATGGCACGCAGTCTGGTTGGATTACACCTCGCGTGAACAAGCTTCTCAAGGCATTCCAGTCTTCATGCAATGAGGTGCAATATATCTTTGATTGATTTTTCCTTTTGCTCTTCAGCCATCTCCTTTCCCCTTGGATTTTTCTTGTACATATATCAACTTTCTTTTCCTTCTTCCTCTTATTTGATCGCGCATCAAATCTCAAATTTGAGGGCAAGGCGATTCCATGCTTTCAAAAGAGTCATTGGCGAGGCGTTTTGCAATGGTGCTGTGGTGGCATCGTCTGCCGGGCAGACGAAGACTCATTTCTGGACCATTTTCTTTTTTCGTTTCATATTTTCATTACATCTACCGATCATTTCTAGTGATACCAATATTTCAATAATATCAGTCAAAAAAACTTTCCATTTATAGATGCTTTGGACATGTCTGGTAATTTGGACGAAACTCTTATCCACCGTATGATGTCTGGGGTATATTAACATACGCGGCATACGGAGTACATGGATCTGAGCCGTTTAAATGGCGCGATTAGCGTTCGAATTGGAATTAGTCGACAATTTCTCCGAAATAAAAGCCTTTGTGCGGCAGGTCTTCTATTTGTTTTTTGTCCAGAAGCCACACATAGTGTCGTAGCGGAGTACACATGATGTAGACAGTGAAGACTGCGACAAAAGGCACACTATGGGGTCACGCCAGCGCTGGACAGCCCTTTGGCCGATGTTTGGGGTTAAGTCACCAGGATTGGAGTTACCTGGCCATCTGAGGGATCTCTGACCCGGAATACACGTTGTGAGAGATGATCAGAAAAACGAGGTTTTCGGACAGTAGCACTTCTGCTGGTAGAGAAGATCTGCCGTGTCGTAAACGATCTTATCGTGGTACAGAATTTTAGCGTGCGGCTGTTCGTTGTTCAACAGGCATCGAGACCGCTGGCGTAATATTAGTTGTCCCTGTCAGTATTGGCGCACAGGGCCTTCCGTATGACCGGCCTTGATGGTTGTTGTGACGGAGGGGGTGGTCTCTTAACGACGGGCATGACGAAGCGCTCGGGAGGTTGAAGAATGAAAGTCAAGGACTTGAACAGTGGAAGTTAAATGTGAAGACAATGACTGGATTTATAGCGATGAACAGTATAAATCAAAATTCGAGGTCTTGGAGGGGGACTCGGCGCTGATTCCGTTAGTATAGCTTCATTTACTACGTTGACGTCCCTTTCTATAAGAAGGAAAAGAGGTAATAAACAGCCTTTTGGAGGATCCTATACTTCAATATTGTATACCTAGTGGCAAGTGAGACTGGTCACACGCCAGGTAGCCACCACCTAAAGCTCAAAGCTCGACAAGCAATGACCGTGTAGATCAAATGCATATTACCCGATTCGGCGAACTAGTGTCCACTAACCCCCGCTTGGCGTTCTTTTACCAACTTGATGGTTCCTCAATTGATGAAGATCGACACGATTATCGCCTTACTATGCCGATGAGTGGGGAAATACAAGGCAGATCGAACGCTAAATAAAGCCTCGAGCACATATAAATGCCAGTTCCCACAACCTTACCCAAGAGTCCCCTTTTAGGCTCTGGGAGCAGACTACAAAATGTCAAACCGACAAATTGTCTTGTGCTTCGATGGCACAGGAAATACCTTCCGCACGGATGGCACGGACACCAACGTCCTGAAAATCTGTCGCATGTTAGAAAAGTCCGACGAGCAACGTAAGGATTACCTCCTAGGTTGATACCGAAACAAGTCTTCTAACTGCAAGCCAGTATGTTACTACCAACGTATGAGCGTATCCACCAGATAACTACAAGGATACTAACCCCAAGTAGCGGGAATAGGCACTGAAATAACTCCGGGCTCCCTGGCCAGCACGACGATCCAAAAGAGAGGGAAATTAGACAATAGCAAAGTGCTAAATCTCGCACTGGGTCGTTCCTTCGATCGACACGTTCTGGGCGGGTACCGGTTCCTTATGCGGCACTACCAAGCCGGCGCCAAGGTGTACATTTTCGGCTTCTCGCGTGGCGCATACACGGCCCGGTTCTTGAATGAGATGCTTGACTATGTCGGGCTTCTCGGCCCGGATAATGAAGAAGTGGTGCCGTTTATCTGGGATGCGTTTGTGTCGTGGAAGCTTGGCCGGACGGATAACAACAGAGAAGAGAAGCGAAAGGCCTTTCGAGTGATGAAAGACAGTCGAGAAATATTGTCGCGGCCTATGGCTCGTGTACACTTCTTGGGCATGTTCGATGCGGTCAATAGTATCGCAGACTTTGAAGTTAATGTTGACGGGAGCCCCTCGAGCAAGGTAGTTCGACATGCGGTTAGCATTGATGAACGACGCATCAAGTTCCGGCCAGTTTTGCTGCGGTCGCATAAAGATAAATGGGTTCGGAAAACGTCATCAGATGAAAAGACGCTTGCGAAAGAGACCTCAACCAATGACTTCGAACGCACATCTGGACCTCCAATTCTGCCAGAAATCCCAAACATCAGCCCAACAAGCATGAAGCGAGAGATTGAATCGGATAATGATGACGATGACGATGACATGCAGGACATCGAAGAAATGTGGTTCCCTGGCGGACACGCAGATATTGGCGGAGGATGGAATCTCGGATCTAGCGAGACATGGCCATTAACACATGCGCCTCTCGTGTGGATGGTTCAAGAAGCGCGGCGCGCGGGACTACGACTTAACCCATACAAGCTGAAACAGCACGAGTGCATCGAGGAATCCGATGGTGATTTTAATTTGGGAGACACCTCGAACCCGAAGAAGAACGTCCCCAGCCTGGAATTACCGGCAGCCCACAAAGATTACTTGGAGGCGCTTCACCTGGCTGGTACCCAAGGGCATATCCATGATCTCCTTGCGTACGGTAACGATCTCCCGCTGACTTCCGTCCTCTCGTGGCGTTTGATGGAGTACCTCCCCCTGCGACGGATGGAATTGCAGGCTGATGGAATGTTGAAGGCTGTGCGGTGGCCGCCACCGCGTGGCCAGACTCGTGATATCCCTGCGACTGCCCAAATTCATGTCTCTGCTATCGAGCGTATGAAGTTGGACCCGTCTTACCGTCCTGATAATTTGATTTTTGGCTCGTCGGAGCGGAAGGGGGATACAGGCAGGGCGGTTGGAATCGGGAATTGGGTTGTCCACTCGCATGAAGGTGATCCGGTGCGGGAGAGGTATGTTCGTAGGTAGTGTGGATGATGATCGGATCAAAATGGGTTCGACCTCGAGGGAGAAGAGCTTTTCTAGCTGCCACACTGTATCATGCTGATATATGGATTGGTTCTTCATTTCACATATTTTCACTCTTTGATTGGGATTGACTCCGGTAGATTTAGCTACCATTACAAATTCAAATCTGTTGAAGAGGAATGTAACAGGAGCAGATAAATTGATATTAAATACATGGAAATTAATGCTCAAATGCTATCAAACTTCCCCCACAATGTGATCTCTGGCGAGGATGGAAAGACCTTGGTCACCTTGATTGAAGCGTCAATATGATGAATTGAGAGGCTGTGGTAGATGGCGATACAGTATCAATGGAAGTATCAATGAGACGGATTGAGAGGCTTTGGCAGATGTATATGGGTGGGTATTTGTATCGATGAAAGGTGACCAGAACAGGCTAATGAAGCCAGCTGTTGGTTTTTTTTGCATTTGTTTCTCAACTTTGCGAAGCCACTCTATCCTGGTTTGTGTGACAATTACCATGACCATGACAGTTGGTAGTGGAGAGATGTGGCTGTGTGGTTGTGAGACCACAAGAATTGACGTGGAAAGTGGAGAGTCAGTCGATTAAGATGATTTGAAAGACCAATCCAGATTGCGGGTCTCAGTTGTCGCATTTGATGCAGAGATATTTATGGATGCCAGCTTGTGGGGGAATGTTTGAGCATAGAGTTCAAAGTGCGAAAAGTGAAGTGGAAGGTGGGAAGTGGAAAATGGGAAGGTATTGGGGCATGAGTCGAGATTCGTTCGTCCGCGACAGCTGGTGAAGGGCTGTCGGCCGGGTCGCTTTGCGAGGCCACGCCCGGTTGTTAGTCTGCCCCGAGGCAACTTATGGCGAGTAGCATTTAAACTACCGACCGGAGTGCTTTCACCATAAGCTTGTCGCCTGAGTCGCTTTGCGAGGCCACGCCCAGTTGCTGGAAACTTGCAGTGGGTAGCATTTAAACTACCGGCCGGAGTGCTTCCACTGCAAGCCTGTCGATGTTCGTTTATACAGCAGACAAATAGCTGTCGCCGTCCGAGTCGCTTTACGAAGCCACGCCCGGTTGTTGATTTGCCCCGAGGCAACTTATAGTGGGTGGCATTTAAACTACCGGCCGGAGTGCTTCCGCTATAAGCTTGTCGACTGAGTTGCTTTGCGAGGCCACGCCCAGTTGTTGATTTTCCCGCGGCAACTTGCAGGGGGTAGCATTTAAACTACCAGCCGGAGTGCTTCCACTGCAAGCCTGTCGACTAGAACGGTTTCTGGCTGCTGAATTGTTGTGAGGTGAAGTGAGGCGATGGGAAGGTAAAGAAGAGAGAGGGACATGGGGCGTGGGGGCATGAGGGATACTAGAAATAAGTCAGCAAGTTCATCTTTGTAGAATGTATGAATGGATACCACAAGAAATTGTTATAGCAGAAAGTTGTCATGATGCAAGGCTGCCACGATGATTCGTCGAAGGTTGTCATGGTCATGGGTTGGTATTGAAGTCCATGATGGATGGTGGTCATGATGGATGGTGGTCATGATGGATGGTGGTCATGATGGATGGTGGTTATTGTCACAAAGGCAGGTCATCGTGGATAGTAGCCATAGAAGTAGTCATGATGGAAGGTTGTAGCGAAGAAAGGTCATCGTGGAAGTGGGTTGTCATGGAGGTAGGTTGTCATGGAGGTAGGTTGTCATGGAGTAGGTTGTCATGGAGTAGGTTGTCATGGAGTAGGTTGTCATGGAGGGGCAGGTCATGGTGGAGGTGCCGAAGACATGTAAGTCAAGGTCCAAACAAAAAGACAAATGAAGAAGAGATGTTTAAGAGAAAGAAAGAAAACTAGAGAGAAGTGGGGGAAGGAGGTATTTATACCCTGGCAATGGCTTAAGGATCTGGGGAAACTGGGGTAGGCGACGAGTCCCTTCCTAATTGGGAAGGACCCTATATGGCTGGGTCGTGCCTTCCTAATCTGTCTGAGAGAATAACCTGACATTAATTTTCTTAGAACACAGCGCATTGGACTACAAATCATAAGATCCCAAGGTTGCCTAGAGATATACAGCTATATGATATCGAGAATGAAGTAACTTGCAGATTGCACATATATCTACCAATATAGAATATATCAGGACCCCATTGGCACTGCACAGACTCAACACCTAGTCACACTTAATATAATCACACGGGCATGCTAAGAACACCATCATAAGAGCAGCTCAGCTGAACGTTGCTCTCCGGATTGCTTACACAAGACCACTGCGTACCCGAGTTCAGCAAGATATGGCCGTTCTCAGCAATTGGGCCTGAGAATCTCTCAAGTCCCAGTGTAAATTGGTTAAAGTCCACGGCACCATCGGGAAAGTGGATGTAGTATTGACTGTTGTTGCATCGGGCACTTTCCTTTGGCGAAGATCCGTATGACCTGACATTGAACGGTAGCAGTCAGCCTCTGTCATTGTCAGGGGACACTGTTAAATGAACTGGACTCACCAGATCAGGTTGCAGTCCGTAGGGGTGTCGTTGGGGTAGTTTGGATCAGTCGCGACGAAATGCATCGTGGCAAAGGATCCGGCGCTAGCTCTGGCCCAGAAGTCACTAATCTGGATAGAGCTGTCTCGCTCAACGATGGGAATAGCGAGGGCTATACTGGCACCCAAAAGAAGGGAGACGACAGTGAGCTTCATATTGAATGGATAGAAAGATATTTGATATGCTATGAGATATGGATATTAAAAGAAAGTTTCACAGTGAGAGAACATCTTATTTATACCTCTCTAGATGGCCTGAAGTATACACATCTGACTGAAACACTACAGCATACGTGAAGACCAACCAAGTACATGCAAGCCCCTGGTGGGTCAAGTTGTAGACCGCCACCACCAATACCTGTGGCTGAGCAACACCAATGTAATATGATGCAGCCCTAATACGAACGGGCAGACTCAATCAACTGTAGCTTATGTGAGTGATCTATAATAAGAGTTAGGCCGGCAGGTCAGACTAGACGACAATATTGTGTCAGGTGACTTACAGGGGTGTCGTTTAAGCTGCTTTCAGGTGGGGGCACAAACACCCCCTACACAGGAACGGCTCCCAGGAACGTCTAAACAGCGTGAGTCAGACCAAGCTTCTGGACAGCGCCATGTGACCAGATCGGAGCGTTGGCGGCGGCAAGAAAGGGTTGGACCTAGTGGATTTGGCAGCATAGGGCTGGAGAAGCGCATTAGAGGTGGGCCACTAGGAGCCACAGCTCAAGATGGTGCAGTCCGAGCAGTCAAACAGATTGACATGGATACGCAATTCGGGGCTGATTGACTAAAATCGTGAATTGGAGACAATTTCTAAGTTCTCGCATTCTCGCGTTAGTTTATGAAGGAAGATTTATCCTGAGAAGATGTGCCGATTAAAGTAGTATGAAAGATGCTTTTCTTAAGTCATTCGGATGGCACGAAGGACCTAGCCAGCTCTTTATATCAATGGAATAACTCAAAAGTGGCGACCTTTTCACGTATCTATCTCAAAAAGAGGATGTGCTAGGCCATGATCATGAAGAAACACTCGAATCTGCACACTGGCTTGGTTTTTGTATACCCATGGCTGCAGTGATGCTGTTTATGCAACGTCAGGCTGAAAGTAGTGGTACTCTTGAGAAGACTCGTTCTGGGCGTGTCTGGTGGCAGTCTATCGCTTACTATCTCATTGAGTTTGATGGTACGTATTTTCATACACGTAAATCCTTTTGCGTTTGATTTTGACTAACAAGGTGTGATTTACCTAGTCATCAGAATCATCTTGATCACAGCGGCATTCTCTCTAATCCTGATCCCATTCAGCATCGCCTCCTACGGCCCCAACGGATGGGCGACTGGATACATCATCGCGATGGAAGTCCTGGGGGTAGCGTGCGTGCCCGCATTCTACATATGGGAGCGCTACTGTTCATCAGTACAATTCCTCCCGTGGAAGTATCTGAAAGAGCCAACAATGATCGGCTCATGTATGCTGTACGACGTGATGTTCATCTCCTGCTTGTGAAGGCTAGTCTATTTTCAGCCGTTTACCACCAAAGCCAGCAACATACTAATACCCGCAAATCAGTACTTGGAACAACTACTTCAGCTCGTACCCACAAGTCGTCAACAGACTCGACATCACGACAGCCAACTACGTCCTCAACGCTTTCTCCCTAACCTCTTTCGTCTTCAGCCCTATCTTCAGCCTGTAAGCGCACCCCACCACCTCACACATCCCTCCTATACAGAATCTAACAAAACCCACCTCTCAGAGTAATGAGCTGGACCGGCGACTTCAAATGGACCGCCATGGCTGGCGTCCCAATCTTTCTTAGGAACAGCTCTGCTAGTCCCGTTCCGCGCACCAGACACACACGTCGGGATATTAACAATGATCCAAATCCTCGTGGGACTCGGTAGCTGCCTGTTCACTGTATGCGGACAACTAGCGATAATGGCGACGGTAATACACCAAGAGATTACAGTTTTGATGGCGATCTGGGGATTATTTCGATCGATTGGAGCGGCAGTGGGATCTGCCATTGCTGGCAGGATGTGAAATAATATCCTCGAGAATGAGTTGTATAACCGGCTGCCGCAGGAGAGTAAGCACCTTTCGGTGAGCATCTTTTCGGATTTAGTGATGCAGATGTCGTATGCCGATGGGACTGGGGAGCGAGATGCTATTGTTAGGGCTCATGCTGGCTGATGTTCAGAGGAAGATGGCGATTGTTGGGGGTCTGTTTTGTGCCACTTTGTATTCTTTGTACTCTTTGTACGTGGTTTTGGAGGAATGTTAATGTTAAGAAGTTGGAGAGGGAGCAGACGGCTGGAAATGTGTGGTAGAGGGTTTTTGTGGATTGGAGATGTGGGTTGAGGTACATTGAATAGAGATAGAATGACAATATGTCAAGAGTTATATAGAAATTTTCTACTTTACGACTTGAATATTTTGTGTTTTCGATGAAATGTTTCATTTGTAGCGTGGCTTCAGCCACTACGCTAGCGCGGGTGCGCTGGACCTCAAATGATCCTATGGCGCGGGTATATGTACATTGTTTGGTGGAATTCAGTCTCTCGTGAGGCGGGACGAACAACAGTCTTCTCCATATACCGAGGGTGTGACGGTTGGAGTTTAAGCCGCCGAGATGAATCTCCCGCGGGTGATTAGATACCAAATAGATATTATGTGGCCAAGCAAATCCCCGAGTTTCATTTAGGCGGCGACTGTGCCTGGAAGCACAGGTACATCTGTAGACAGGCCAGAAGACCAATGGAATCCCCAAAACAGGCGATGGCCTTTCAAGGAAGTTGGAGTAGACCGAAGCAACATGGTCTTTAAAAGCTAACTAGCGAGATCACACCTAGATTCTCTCAGCCGCCCATAGACTCTTCAGGGACTTCCTGGAACGTCTCTGGGAAGAACCCAGGCGGCGGCCAAATATCAGCTATAGAAGGGGGATGAACCAGTGGCTGTGATCCGCCCAAGCGATCCGGATCGTGGCAGAACGCCTGGAATGTGCTATCGTCCAAGAACCCAAAATCCTTCAGGCCGGCCTCGCGGTTCGTGGACCATTCAGTGGTATCCAGGTATGCGAGATCTTTGAAGATGGCGTCAATATCCCCGACGGAAGCGATGTTTCCAGGCATCATTGGGTTTGAAGTCGTCGAATCGGGGGTTTGGGGTTGTGGCTGTTGATGTTGTGCGCTGGATGTGCCATACACTGAATCCGCTCTGCTGCGCGGATTGATCTTGTCTGGTAGGCCAGGATGTACTTCCCTTGAGTGGTGTAGTGCCACTTCTGTCATGCCTAGATCTGTGTTTTCCATTACAGTGTCCTTTGGAGTCAAAGATTGCCCATCGACTGGCATACTGATGCCAAGGATAGAAGAGGTGTAATCTCCTTCACCGTTCTGGGGTAAATTGCGACCTCCGCCTGGGGGGTGCATGGGGCCTACCATGGGTGCACCCGAAAATGGGAGGCCGACCGCCCTCGGGAAAGTGGATGACCCCCCAACATCTTTGGAGTGCTGCCACCTCTCCATGGTAGAAACCAAAGATCCATAGGCCGGCCATGTGGTGGTGAAAGCTGTCGTTTTGTGTCGGAGCTCGTCTACCCATCTGACAAAGGGGAAGGTGTCCGATGAGTCGGCAGTGGTCCGAAGTCTGAACGCTTGCTCCGCAATTGTGCGAAGACTCAGCTCAAACAGCGGTGGAAGACCGCACATGGAGAAGTTTTCCAAGTGTTGAGTGAGCATAGAGAGCCCTCGATAAAGGAGCTTCTTGGCCCCCTCTGTGGCTGGGCGCTGTGAACGGTGCAACCCCTGCTCACCCGACATCAATTGCAAATAGAGCCAAAGCAAGGTGGCGACATAGGTCAACCCTAGGTAGCTCTGATGAGGAAGCAAGGCTGAGTGCCGTTCTGGATATATGCTTTCCGGTCCAATCAGGCGACATCCCAGAGGTAGGCAATCATCCCACTGCTTAAGCTCCATGACCAATTGCTGCGCAAAGGTGGCCATATTGTATCCTGAAGACATGTGACGGGATATCTTATTGAGAACACTCGCCAACTCAACCAAGCGGTTGAAGCAGCTCAGGGCCAAGAGTGGTCCACGGCGCGGTGTGTTCTTGCTGCCCTGTGGAGCACCCGTGGGTGGTGGTAAAACGTCCACCCAAGAGTTCCACTCCTCCAATCCATCCTCTTCCAGAAGACCCACTGCCGTAAGGTCGCTTGGAGGCATGGCTGGACTCCGTGAAAGACGGAAAGATAGCAATGAATCGACTACAAAGCAGCCCAAGAAGACTGCCTTGCCTTGTCTGAGTTCGTCAGACCGCCGGCTGTCGGAAACAGTCCCAAGACCCATGGCAATCGCCATACGCACTGCTTGGCCGCTCAACAGCCAAGCTGCGGTCCAATCCTCAAGACCCATATTCACTAAAGTCAACAGCAGCAATGCCTGAATATGGCCAGGTTCGTAACGCTCTTTCTCCGTGGGGATGATGTTTCGCGAGACGGCATAGTATTCCTTCGCCAGAGCGACTGTTCCAGCAGGACCAGCCCGTGGAATTGTTCGCGATTGAGTGATGGTGTAACTCAAGATTGCCCACAGAGCGGCGTGATCACCGGACCCAGGTGAAATCGTGGCAATAGAGAAAGGGGAGTTGGCATAAAGGTAAGAAGCACGAAGAATGTTATGCTTCGCGACGACGGGAAACCATGAATGCGTGACTGCAAAATAGATATCGAGCAGCTGCGACGTCTGAGGCGGCAACTGCAGTGTGTGGGGATTAGGTCCAGGGATACCCCGACCATCCGACTCTTTCGACAATCGAGCCCGCTTTACACCTGGCGATACGGCAAAGGGCTCAACTACACGCGGAGCACCTGGGCCGAGCGAGGTGGAAGTGCGAGCAACTCGGAACCCCCATTGACCGTCAGAACCATCTCCTTGCGGGTTACGCGATCGCTTCCCGGTCGCCGGCCCGGGCGCATCCGAATTAGAGAGCATTTTCTCCAGCGCCCCGAATAGCCGACTCGTTTTCCAAGATTCGTGTAAACTCTCCGAGGAACTATCGTCCGACCACACTGACATCAGTTTCTCGCGACGACTGGCGGACTCGGCGGTGTTTCCTAGCATGGCCAGCATGGTATCCTCGAACCCGTCAATGTTGCAGATTGACAGCGCCCACAACTTTTCCAAGCCACGGACGTAGCCCTCGGGGAGACCGCGTTTCTTCGCATGAGGGTCGTAGGAGCAGGACTGGCCCGATGTCTGACAGGCAGAACAAGTGGGACGAATGCCGTCGCATTTATCCTAGAATCGCCGAGACGTTAGATTGGGCAAATGAAATATATGAGGAAAGAACATAGCCGGACGCGACTCACTTTCTTACTGCGACAGCGATCGCAAGCTCGGGAGACCCTCTTGCGCCGAGGGGCCTTATCTGATCCCTCATCCATGAAGAGGGGTTATTAGCGCGGATGACGCGCCATGTAGAGGAAATAAGGGGACCAGCAGCTCTATCTTAATTGAGACTTCACGGAATCGCGGAATCAAGTTGAGAGTAATGCAAGGTCGGGCCGTATAGGAAAGAAGCCGAAACTCGGAATGGGGTCGAAGAAGAGTATGACCGCAAATAGAAAAGTGGAGGAGCAGAGTCTAACGCAAGCTACCATGTAATTAGCCTCCACGGCAAAGGTCACAGTTAGGCAGGCCGAAGGAGGATCTCGGACGCGAAGTTCGGGATGTGAAGGCACTCGGAATTATCGGGGGGATCTCCACGTCCCCACAGTTATCCCACATTTCCATAGTGACTTACTGTACAACAGAAGGTGCCTGAGATTTATATATCGGACTAGTATTCTATATATTTTTGGCACTGATGAGTTAGTAACTGTCTAATGATGCAAGGCATTAAAGTATTAAGGCGTCAAGGCATCAAGGCTCTAAGGCATTAAGGCATCACGGTAGACATTCCGGTCTATAGCCGACTCAAGCCGACGGCGCTTAACCCGATTAGGACTATATACATTGGAAGGTAGTTGTCGCGGGATAGCATCAATAAAGGAAGGATTGTGTCAAATATGCAGGAAGGTGGAGGTATATATTAAATTCCATAGTAAATATACACCTATTCATATGTCTGGAGCAGCGTGGGAGGCCCTGCGTAACTTTCAGTTTACATTGCATCTCGAGCAAATTCATCTTGTTATGGACTGAAACCAGCAAATAGTATATTAAATCCCCAGAATGACCGCTGATCCTTTCTTTAGTATTGAATGACGCAAAATATGTCTGGAACACCGAAATAATTTAGACATAAGTTTATTGTGGGCTTATTTCATGATAGGGACAGTATAAGGCCGGGGGCTGATTGGTTCTCATCTCTGCAACAACAATCATATTGTAGCCACTACTACCTCCGTATGGTATACTCCCAATATTCTGGGTACTAGCCGCCAAATTGCCAATCAACGATCGCAGAGACCTCCCCATTATCCACCATGATATTTCGAGGGGCTAGATCTGCATGAGTAAAGCAGCTCCGGTAATGACGGGAGTGGCATTCGGTGACCTCTAGACCCAATGATTCCGCAGGGATGCCCGCTCGAAGGTATGAGTGAAATCCTCCATGGCTCATAAACGGCCCGAAAGTCCAACATCCGACTCGGTGATCGAAGGCCTTATCGAATGTCGCCGATGCAACTATTCCTTCTTGTGGCTAGTATAGCTCGCAACCTGGTTGATGATGTGCTTCTTTTGATCTTGCGACAGGTAGCCGCGGTGCCATGCTTTCTCGAGGCTCATTCCACGGATAAACTCCATTTCGATATAGAGCCTATCATCATGATAGTGGGTGTTGAAGACTTTAGGGACAGGAATTGATGTGTGTTCAGCGACGTATCTCAAGGCTTCTAGCTCCAGCATATGACAAGGCCCTGGTAGAATGACTCGCTTGGCTCAGAAAATGAATTCTCGTGCATGAGTGATAAAGGGACGAGTAGAGGAATGTGGAACAAAGAGTCGGTCAAGACTACATTCGCTGTAGCGCTTGGGTTGATGACTATGGTGATTCTTAGTCCGACCTATTTTTGTAGCACCTCCTATTCTACTATATATAATGTTAGCATAGTTTTCACTAGTCAATCAGGCAGACTATCTCATTATAATCCAAAACACCGCTATCCAGGGTACGATCGATCGTCTATATCCTTGTAGATACGGGGGCAAGTAGACGGCAATTTTCAGTTGAAGAGGGAAGTTATGTCGTCTAGTTTTAGAATATGAGATGATGTTCAGTCCACTGCCGAGATGGAGATGTCTACGAGAGATCTGGTGGAAAAGCCTTTTGCCGGGAAACAATCTGACCGGTAAGTTCCCAGTTCTTCCCATTCCGGGGAACATTCACGAACTTTGGCATATTATCTGGGGTATACAACATACCTAGGTATTGTTCTACTGACATACTTGAATTTCAGATTCCATACATTGCCCTATCTATTATTGTCTACATGAACACTCCTGTTCATCACTTCTCAACATCCCGCATTCGATTTTTGGATGCGATTCTATGCCTCGAGTGCATCTGATCATGGCGCTCGTTCACTCGACATAGACCCCAATTAATTCATCGCCTTTCACCATGCTCGATCCCAAACCCTCCATTCCCCCTACGATTGACGCCAAGTCCGATATCCCCGCATGTGCCACCAAGGAATCCTCCTCTTCCACCATGCTCCGCCCGGAGTCCGCCCCTCGCACATTTGCTCCCAATGCATCCCTCGTCCTGATCGGCATCCGCGGATGTGGCAAGCGCTCGCTAGGCTTCGTCGCCGCGACCGCGCTAAAGCGACGCTTCATTACCGAAGACCACTACTTCCGAGAAGTCACGGGCGTTACGCGACAGGAATACCTCAAGCGGTATGGCAGCCAGGAATTTCAGCGCCGGGATATCGAAGTTCTGAAGATGATGCTAGATAACCACCGCACGGGCTGCGTCATGGAGTGTGGGCTGGCTAGTCTGACGCGACCTGTGCAGGATCATCTGCGTCGTTATGCCCGGACCAACCCAGTGGTCCATCTGCTGCGCGATATCGATCGCATCCAGCAATTGCTCGGTTTAGAGGATCAGGCGGTGCGGTTGTTCCGGGAGGGAGACCCAATGCATCGGATGTGTTCGAATTTCGAATTCTATAATCTTGAGGATCGGACGCGTGCGTCGGACGATGGGAGCCCAGATCGCCGTTCTGCAGATTATTCTTTCAAGTTGCAAGAGGTGAAAGAGGATTTTACGCGGTTTGTACAGTTCATTACGGGACTCGATGTGAACTATTCGAGCTATGACTCGCCGTTCGTTCTGCTAGAGACGCCACCAGAACTGCGCTCTTTCACCCATGCTATCTTTGTCCGATCTTCAGATCTTATCGCCGACAATGTCAACCTGACTGAGCTGGAGTCTGGCGGAGATGCCATCGAGCTGTGTGTCGATCGCTGGAGCCCAGATACGGCAGCCACCGTCAGCAAACAGGTCTCGGTCCTACGTCGAAATGCGCGGACGCCTGTGATTCTCTCCGTTGACACCTCCTCCACCGGCATCGGGTCCCCAAAACCAGCCGCCTCTTCTTCTCGGCCTTACTTTGATATACTCGAGCATGCTCTACGGCTAGGTGTGGAATATCTTGTTGTAGACTTGACTCAAGACCGATCCCGGCTGGCTGGGACTATCAAAGGTCGTGGGAATACCAAAATCATCGGCCAGCAGATCTTTGAACCATCTTCCCCCACTACATGGGACAGCGCGGGCTGCGTCGCCATCTACAATGAAGCTGAAAAGCTCGGATGTCAGCTCGTCCGCCTCCTCCGAGTCGCAACAAAGCGCGAGGACAATGCCGCTGTGATTGAATTTACCAATAAAATCCGATCGCTCCCGGGAGATCACCCACCGCTCATCGCCTATAACATCGGCGCCCTAGGCCGCACCTCACAAGTGTTCAACTCGATCCTCACTGCAGTAACACATCCAGCGATAACCCAGTCCGTAGAGAATAAACACGACCCGCAAATAACCTCTCGCGACGCCGTCCGCGCACTCTTCCAAAGTTACGTGCTCGATCCGCTCAAGTTCTACATCTACGGAGAGAACGTGGCCTACAGTCTATCACCGGCAATGCACAATGCGGCACACCAACACTGTGGCATGGGCCACACCTACAGCATCCCAGAGTCACCCTCTCTCGCAGTATTAGACCGACTAGGCCGAGATCCACACTTTGGGGGATCCAGCATCGTGCAGCCATGGCGCGTACAGGTGTACCAAAAGCTCGCCTCGAAAAGCCGACACGCCGAAGCCATCGGGGCAATCAACACGATCATGCCGCTCCGCGGACACGCGGACGGAACGATGTACCCACTCCAAGAACAAGCCAGTCGACGCAATCAAGCCGGGCGCGTGTTGGGCTGGTACGGTGAGAATACCGACTGGGTCGGGATAATGACGTGTATCAGGCGCCATCTCTCGCCGCGCAACGCAATCAGCGCGAAAACAACAGGCCTAGTTATTGGCGCGGGCGGCATGGCGCGGGCCGCCATTTACGCCATGCTCCGACTTGGGTGTCGGAAGATCTTCATCTACAATCGCACGCAGTCGCGTGCCGAGGAAGTCGCGCGCCATTTCAACTCCTGGGCGTCGTCGCAGGTGGACTCGGCTGAGGTAGTTTGTGTCTTGCACTCGCTTCAGGAGGACTGGCCCGCGGACGCTGCTCAGCCTAGTCTCGTTGCGTCTTGTGTACCGGCTGATCCAGACCGAGATGAACCACCGGCGAACTTTGAAATGCCGGTGCAGTGGCTTGGGAGTTCTACTGGGGGTGTGATACTCGAGGTGAGCTTTTTCTTCCCTCCGGGGGGTGTGTTTTTCTTGTCACACGTACTAATTGGATATAGTTGGCCTATAAACCCCTCGATACACCACTTCTACGACAAATGCGCCGAGTCCGGAGCGAGACTGGACGGCCTTGGGTCTTGTCTGACGGATTGGAAAATGTAACCGAACAGGGCATTGCTCAGTTCGAGTTGATGACAGGTCGCAAAGCACCTCGGCGGCTTATGACCTATGAGGTTCTACGCAATTATGTGGGTGAAAGTGGGCGTTTCGACGAGAAAACTATTCAGGCTCGTTTGGATGGTGTTGGATCTCCGGTGACTTGGGAAAAGGAGTAGAAGGGGTTTTTTTGGGGTATGGCTGTGATCTTTTCCTGACTTCTTTGGTCAGTTCTGTATATATAAAACAATCTCAAACAGTTAATACCAAGACGAGACTCGATCACTCTAATCTCTCAAGGCCAATCGTCACGGGAACGTGAGCTGATAACACTAACACTCTCCTATCGGCACACCGCCCGACTCACATCTGGGCTTTCTTTTGTTTGGGTCTCCTCGTCAGCTTCACTTCACTCAAAGACTTCCCTTGAGGCTTCCTTAGTGTGTTCCTAGCCATCTATATTATATTCAAATTGGCTTGAATACGGTATACCACCAATGCCAGGGTTTTCGCCCGAGCAGACCGACTCGATAACGGCAACATGGAAGAAACGAAAGTGGGACCATGAGGAGCCGAGGACTCTAGCACGTTCGTAAGTCTGACAATGCTTCTCTCGGGGTGAATAGATTGATTAATATGATCAGCAGAACAACATATGTCCCATCCTGCCGAGTCGATCGGCCCGAATACGACGGTGGCTGCTCATTGCCTCTATCACGACACCCAGACGGAACAGACATCTCCTTCCGACCACGCTGCCTCCCTCGAAAGCGCCGACATGTTCAAGGCCCTTATCTTACACTGCCATCCCAGCAGCATCAACATCAACTCCAGCACCCACATCAACTCCAACACCAACAATCCCCAATCCACCTCTCCCCAAACGTCTACGGCGCCCCAAACCAAGACCCATACTCACCCCCGGTCTCCCCCAAAACCCTCGTCCCCTTGCACTACCCAGCGCAACAATCCGCCTCCCCCTCCGCGCTCCGCCCCTGCCACATCTGCCATCGCCGCCCAACAACCCGCCAAGTACTCGACGCCTACGCAGACTGTGATCTCTGCCACGAACGGGCATGCTTCATCTGTCTCCGGCAATGCGATAGCGCATCCTGCGGCGGAACGTTCGGTCTGCCAGAAGTGCGTATGCACATGCACACGAACTCAACCGACGACGGCAGCTACAATACTAGCGAGGCGCCCAGGAGGAAAGTTTGCTCCCGCTGTGCTGTGGAGGAAGTCACCGAGACCGGAGCGGAGATTGTGCGTTGTCTTGACTGCGTGCGTGGTGCGGGCTCGTGGGCTGCGGCGAATATTCCGTCTGATTGGGCTTTGGATGATATGCGGCATGAGGATATGACCGGGTGAGGGTTATATACGGAGTTGATTTACTCGCCTCTGGGGGAGGCTTGAAGGTGGATATGACAGAATGGCACATACGAAACTACGGTATAACCTTCTTTGCAACCTCAAGGTTGTTTCTGCTGCTCTTTTTGGGGTGGCTTTCTTTTCGGAGTTTGATATTGGGACTGGACTGGACTAGAGGAACTGGCTGGAATTGAGGTGGATCTTTTTTTGGCATTTATATTGGACATGCAGCATGGCGAATTGATGATCTTTTATTTATTTGATATAGCATATAGCATAATGATATCATATTGTATACTCTGTACTCCAACTCTATGTGTATACAACATGGAATAGACTGTTCTCAGTTTACATCTAAATATAAGGACTAAGTGAAACTAAATTAAAGTGAGAGCAAAAGTGAAGACAGACATCTATATACCAAAAAAGGACTCATAGTCCCATAAGTAAAAGAACAACGCCTATATATATTGTCCAGGTATGAGGAGACTAAGCGGGTAAGCCCTTAGTCTCACCCATATCTGCGACGAAAAAATCTATATCTGCCTGGTTCCAACGGGAGATATTGTCCATCGGAGCTCGCGTGTGCGTTTCAGCGAATGAGACATCCATTCTTTAATGGGCAAAGCTAAATGGGATAAACCAACTATCCCCTATACCGTTATCTCTCCTTCCGAGGGAGACCGTTCCCTCCTTTCTATTTTTTTTTTAGAAAAATTCTCATTTGAATATATATACTAATAGTGTGTGGTGATTAATTCTCCTGGCATTCTTGGTGTCTTGCTGTAGGGTGTATACAGATATACAGATACACACTATGGGATAGACCCTATATATCATGTGCACGCTAGGGAGCTTCCTGGCAATCCAATTAATTGTGAGCAGTTAGATGAAACACTCTCAGATAGAGTATTTCTATTGCTCTTTGTTTTGTCAGGCTGCCACCCTAGTAACACTATAGACTGGAGGCTGATACTAGAACAGATATACGGAGTATAGAAACATCAAGTAAATGCATCAATGCTATTAGAAATGAAGACCATAGAACATAACAGGAATATGGTGAGGGTATAGCCAAAATAAAAACCCCATGCTCATCCACATACAAACCTACTTCTTCTCAATCTCAATATCAGCCTCAATCCCCAATCCCTCTAGCTACCCTACCTACCAAACCTCATCTGGGCCCCAGCAAAGTGCCAAAGACCACGCATGTACCCTTGGTACTCCACCGCCTCTCCATCCCCACTAAGTCCATGACTGCGTCCACCAGTACAATACATTTCCGTCAACCGCAATTGCCAAGGCGGATACCCATCGAGCTTAAGGAACGGTCCAAAAACAAGCAACAGATCCGGCTCGGGTTTGAGCACTGTATCTGGCAGCGTGGGGTCCATAGACAGTGGCTGCGTAGTGATCTCGCTGATCTCCGCGTCGACCAACTCTGGCGTGATATCTTCCGGGGAAAGCTTGCCATTCTGGCTCATCTCCGCCAAGGTCTTGGTTAGGTCGACGAGGGTTTCGCGGCCGTCCGTTGAGGAGAGGAGGAGGATTGTCAGGGTTTGGGGTTGGCTTGTGGTGTCGGTGTTTTTTGTGATGGGTGCGCTGCGGTGAACTGGGTGGTGAGGGGCGTAAACTTGGAGAATTGGTTGGTGGCTCGGGGTGCCGTAGTAGGAGGCGAGTTTGGTGGTGATTATTTGGTGGAGGGCTGGGATGCAGGATTTCAGGACACCTGGATAGAGGATTAGTATTACTGCATATCTTGTATATTGCCGAGAGAGTTAATAGTAGAGAGGAGATCTTCATACCAGACTTCTCGTATACACTGAGCTGGGAAATTCCCGAGCACGAACTCCACGCCGCCAATTCAGCAACCTCATCCATCAACACCGCAAGAGCATCATCTTCCTTCCGCAGCGTGAGAATTGTACTCAGATGCTGCGGCAAGCGCTTGAGATTCTTTACATCTTTCCGGATCAGCTCGGGGGTGCGGTGGTGGTGATAGACGATTGCGAAAATGCGATCGACGACGGCATGGTACGCCTGCAGGAGACGGACCACGATTCCGAAGATAATATGCGTAAAGGCATAGGTGAGGTAATGGGTTTGCGACTTGAGGAATGTGCGGACAGGAGTTTTGCGCGTTTTGCGGCGCTCGCTGGCAGTGGCTTGGGGAGCTGGCTTCTGTCGTAGCTCGGCGGGGTCGGGGAGATAACTCTTGAGGAGGGCTTCGCGCTCTTCTACGCTTAGTTTTGTGCCGCGGGCGCGTAGATCGTCGCGTAGGATCTCGCGATCTCGTTGGGAGACCATTGTTGTGGTGGGTGAAGGAGGGAAGTGGAGGAGTGGATGTTCTGGTTGTACGATGGAATTGGTGACCAGGTATACAGAATGATTGAACGTTCTTATTGTGGCTATTTTCAAAGTATTCCAAGGTATTTCAAGGTATTGTTTATTTCTATTTCTATTAATATATCGAGTTCAGCTTCGACTAAATATCTCTGCCTAGTATTGGCCTCGGTATACGTATACACGTCCACGGGTGTATAGAATATGTGCGTGGCAGTAAATCTCCCCGAACCAAATCCGTCGTCTCCCTCAGCTTTCCCCGGATTCCCTCTTTCAATCACTTCAATTACTCCCACAACAGTCCGAGGAAGAGGAGACACCATTGTCCAGCTCTGCAGGCAGCTCATGTCTGTCCACTATCAATCATGATGGACAATGCATCCATCACCACGAACTCCGCCCGCACCGTATTCCCCCAAGGGCCCAGTTTCACCCTCGAAGACTTCTCTAGCCGGGACTTCATAGTAAAGGAGTTCATTGAAGCCCTTTCCGACACTGCAATCTCCAACCGTCGCTCACTAGCCGGTACCACCGGCGCTGCCAACCAACCCTTCGACCCCAAACCCCTCATCCGCACCCTCGAAGGCGCCCAACGTCGTCTAAGCGAGCTCTCCGGAGACCTCGAGCTCCGCGAGAATGAACTATCAGCAGCCGTTCGACGCGCAGAAGCGCAACACAGTCAGAACCTCAACACCCTCGGCCAGAAGCTCCGCCACACCATCGAAAACTTTCAACAGCTTGACACGTCTCTAAATGCCCCCGGCCGCGAGAATCCAGCAGGGACCGGGAACATGGCAGTCGAAACAGGAAAGCGGTTAGAGGAGCTAGACAGACAGCGACGACGAGCTCTGGACGCCCATTTCCTCATCCAATGCTGGGACGGCGTATGCAATCGGGGCGAGATCTCGTTATTAGAGGGCCTGCGGCGATCTGGCACGGGAGAGGCCAAGGTGCGCTCCGCACATATTGCGCGCCAACTGCTGCGTATCAGTCAACGGCTGGACCCGCAGAGCTGGCAGGAACATCGGGCTCGCTCGAATGGTGGGTACGGGAATAGCTCTTCGTCCGAGGATCTTAGCGAGAGCAGCACACCGCGGCGGAATACGCGAGAGATTATCGAGAAGTTCTCTGAGACGCTGGAGAAGGATTTGCTGAAGCAATTTGACGATTTCTACCGCAAGGCTAACTTTGACGGTATGAGGGATTGCGCGACTGTGTTGCAGGATTTCAATAGCGGTGCAAGTGTTATTGCATTATTCGTCAACCAGCATCAGTTCTTTATTGAACGCAGCCAGCTGGTTACGGAGGAAGTCGGTGGCGACCCGGAGTCGTGGGAAAAACTGGCAGATCCGGACGCGGAGCTTCCTGGAGTTGAATCCAGTCTCCAATCGTTGGTCGATGAAGTTAAGGTTGTGGTTCAAGAGGAGTCTGCTATTATTCGGAGGGCCTTCCCTTACTATGAGCAAGTCCTGGGCAAGTTCTTACAGCGAGTTTTCCAGCAATCTATCCAGCAGCGGCTGGAAATGGTGCTTGAGAAAGCGGCTGGTGTATCGTCACTAGCATTCCTCCGTTGTCTACAAAGCTCCCGTGGCTATATCAGTGCCCTAATCGAAGATTTGAAGTCACATGGGCTGACTGAGCATCCGGATCCCGTTTCTTCTCAGACAGCTGTGTTGCTAGATCAGCAGTTGGAGGAGCTTTTTGTTCCTTATTTCGTTGGATCATCTTACATCGAACGCGAGAAGCGGACGTTAGAAGAACTTTTCAATGCGGTCTTGTTCAGATTCACCTCTTACCATGCCCGCCGCAAGAAGGCGGCAACAACTTTCATGGCCTCGTTATCCCGAGCTGGGTCAGAACTCCTTTCGACTACACGAGATGCATTTATCAGTCGGCTGGACTCATCAGAGGTCTCACCCTTCCAGCGAAAAGTCCTGCTCGGTGTAGCCAAAATAGGCGATACGCTGGAGACAACTCGATTGACCGAAATCAAGCTCACAGAAGAAGATGGACAACCCAATCTCAGCGACGCTAAACGGATGCTGAAGTGGCTGGCCGAGGCTGTGGGCCGGGGACTCGAGCTCAGTGTGAACAGCGACACACCCAAAGATGTTTCCGCCTTGCTCAACCTACTTCTCCTCGCGATGGGAGAGGGATATGTGGATGTCTGTCTAGACGCCGCTCTGGAAGCGGCTACGTCGCAAGAATCCGGCAAGGCCGAGCCCGACTTCTCCTATCTCTTCTCGGCTCGCACTACAATCAGTATTACCACATTGATGGTGATGTGTATTCATGCGGTCCTTCTCCCTCTATCAGCTGCGAGCATCACTACTCGCCGGGATATGGAGAAGCGCACCAGCCAAACTACCTCGCGCATCGAGGACAAAATCAACACTATCGAGCAGAAAACTATTGACGCCACATTCGCCTGGGTTAGCAGATTGCTATCTAACCAGAAGAAGAACGACTTCCGACCAAGGGAGAGTGATAACACCGCATGGTTAGAGATGCTGCAGACCCCAGTACGTTCCATCCGATATCTTCTCCCTCCAAGAACCCCACTAATCCCAACAGACCTGCGCATCAATCACCTCATTCCTAACCCGTCTCCACAACACCGCGCGCACCTCTCTCCCATCTAGCGGTGCCAACGT